ATATATTTGATTTTATTGTAAATAGTTATTTTTGCAGCCATATATTTATTTAATAATTTTTATGTACATGATATAATGTCATTTACTGATATTTGTTTTGTGATGAGTCAAAAATTTTTATTTCATCCATAAAATGTTAAATATTTCATGAAGGCTACTTGCTCAATTTTTTTGTTTAAATTCCTAAGTCTAGTTAAAAATGCAAAGGTTGAGTGTAATTGGTGAATTTTAATGACTAGCCTAATGCACAAAATGCACTTCAATTATTTTTCAACTGTGTATTCCATATCCATGATAATGTGCAAAGAACTGATGACTACAGTTGCTGACAATTACATAATTGTTATATGAATTAGAAGTAACTTCAAATAAACTTTTTGGCAGTGTTCATTTTTGTATTCATACATATATATATATATATACACATATCTAATATTTACCTACACATAGCGAGAGAGATGTGATGGTTTAGAAATTGTTAACGTATGTTTATTAGTATTAATGTAATGAATGAATAAGCTTTTTATTAATGAATGTATACACAATTATTTTTCATCATTCATAATAAATCCATAAATTTCCAATGTTTCAATATGTAGCATTTACAATAAAAATATAGTTCTTAAGTGTATTTATAATCTAAAAAGCCCTTCATTAATAACATGAAGATAATAGCATACAAATTTAATGTGTATCCTTGTTATTCAATAATCTATGCTTTAATAAATATACATAATCATTGATTATGCAATTTCAATTTAAAAGTAATTATGAGAAAAGTAAAAGTCGCGCATATACAAACATATTTTAAAAAATTATTCCCCTTAATAAAAAAAATTCAAATTTATAACAATAACATTGTTTTCACACAATCAGCCCGAAATATAACAAATTTGGCAAACTTTTGGTGACGAATAATTTGTAAACAAATCATCAGAAATAGCATGTCATAAAATATTGTTTACTCTGAAATTTCCACGATTATAAATTTAATAAATACATAAACATCTAAAAATGACAGACAGTTATACTACAACAAAACCGCAATATATATATGGCTTCTTCCGTATTTCTTCAATTAAATCAGCATCTATTTCCTTTGTGCATGATTTCACGAGAGCCATCGCCATATTGAAAATTACCAGTGATCCTTCAGAAGCAGAACTTTCGTCTGATTGGTTGAACATACACAAAACACGTCTCCAGATGGAACATTTTCGGAAAATTTTCAAAATGTTTTGCTTAGCTAGACGAAACATTTCTCGGAAGCCTCCCACTTAAAGCAGCGTTACTAGAATCTAGTTTTTCGGAAATGTCCCATCTAGCCATGCGCGTCGGTAGAAGTGATAAGGCTCTAACGAAACCAAGATTAGATGATGATTTCTTGTCATGGATTAATCAAGAGGGTATAGCAAGGGTAAGAAAGTCAGTGGACCAATATTTAAAGAAGAGGCTACTCTGTTTCATTAGAAAATAGGTGGAGATAATTGTTTTAACGCAAGGGACGAACGGCTTAACGTATGGAAGAAAAGAAACGGAATTTGTATGCTCAAAATTTTGGGATAAAAATCATCAGCCAAATGTAAACCTGCAACAAAATTCATAGAAAAATTGGAAGCTTGTACAGTCAAAAGTCGTTAATCCGGACTGGTCGGGACTTCGGCGATTCCGGATTAGAGATCATCAGTTTAAATCTGGTAAGATGGCATGCAGGAATTATAAAATTAGAAATATGAAACCGTAATTTATGAAATAAAGAACAATTATGATCTAAAGGATATCAAAATTTACAAAAAAAAAAAAAAAAGCTTAATATTTATTTGTTTACTTTATTAAATATTTCTTTCAATGTAAGTTGTTTAAGTTGCTTCGTTTTTTATGTGATAATACATTCTCTTTAATTCTATAAAGAGACATAATTTCTTGTTCAGTTACAAAGTTCCGCTGTTCAAGTCCTATCATTGCTGTCTACCGACTAACTTGTCAATCGAAATTTTTTCGTTTTCAATAACCTCTCTTACTTTCTTCGCTATCGGAAGCGAATTATAATGACGAGGAATTTGATTTAAATCATATCAAAGACGGAGTACATCAAAGATGAAATACTACATTTAGTAAGAAATTGTAAGCCAAATAAAATAAAAACATCTGCCCTGATGATAAGGATAGTGCTGACAGATGAACTTCCAATTCATTGTGCGCCGCGGCGTTAAAGATAAACAAACGTTAAAATTTAGATAAACAAAGGATACGCCTTTATCCATTTTTTGTTGCAATTCCACTTTTTGTTTAATGAACTTCGAAACATACTTTCGCTTTGTAGATCCTTTACATATTAATAAATATATATCAGAAATTCTATTTGAGATAATCGAAAGTTCAAGCTTACTTTTATAAAATTGCTCTAACAGTCTGCAAAAAATAATAAGCCGGATCCAATTCGAAGATTAAGGAACAACGCAATCTGCAACATTAACTGAAATAGATAATTAGATAATTTTAGCTTAGCTTATACCCTCTGTTATACATTAAACACGCACTCGTAAACATATTTTGCACACGCGCACAAGCATATCCGCAGTCGTAAAGGTCTTGCGTGCATGCGTCGACGCAATGCATGCGCAGAAAGTTTGTAGATCTGAGGTCCAGATTATAGATCATTCCGGATTATGGGTGTCCGAATTAACGACTTTTGACTGTATTAACAAAAGGCCTTTATCTGACAAACAAGTTTATAGTGTGGATGAAACTGGTCTGTCTTGCTTCCAGGAAAAAATAATAATAATTAGCATCTAGAAAAGAAGCCGCTGCAACAAGCTACAAAAAATGTAAAGACATAGTGACTGTGTATGCGGCAACACTGCTGGAACCTAAAACACATATTGATGGTTGTTGTGGCAAATCAGTAAAGCAAAGCACATTTAAAAATATTAACGTCAAGCCCCTGCCAGAGGATTATTAAGCTCTATGGACTGCTTGAATAACTCAACAGCTATTTAAAGAATGGTTACATTCTTAGTTTGCTGCAGCAGTGACAAAACATCTCAAGTAAAAAAACTTGAGATGCAAGGCTTCTTCACATCCTAGTGAAGATGAATTAAAAGTATGTGGTATTGAGGCAGTCTTTTTGCCAAAAAAAAAATAGCCCAACCTCTTTATTACAGCCCATGGACCAGGATGTGATAGAAAATTTAAAGAGATAGTACTGATGAAAGCTTTTGACAGCTTTCAATGAAGAAGCTAACTCTGATTTTGGCATCAGCAATTTCCTGAAAGCTGTTAATATAAATGAAGCTATTTATATAATAGCTGAGTCATGGTCAGAAGTTTTTGAATCTACAATGATAAAATGTTAGTGGAAACTTTAGCCAACAAATCAAAGAACTGCAGAAGATTGGATTGGATTATTTCAGTTATGGTAAAGCACATGAGGGCTATCTTCCTAAAAGGAGGGATGCCTTTGTAGAGGACTTTCTAAGGGAAACTGGCTCTTATACACGTTACACATGGAGAAAACCACGAAAACGCCCATGCAGCCAGCCCGTTCGCGGGATGAACTGCAGAAGAAGCAGCAATCTTCGCAGCTGAAGGGACAGATGCTCCTATTAACAACTTTGTGTCATCATTCAAATGTCCTAGTAGATGCCGAGATGTTGATGATGAAGACGTGGAGCAGTGGTTAACCACTGACAGGGAATTTCAGCAAGAAACTTTGTCAGATTACGGTATCTTCAGTGCTGTCACTGCTGTGTTACGCAGCTAAAGCATTAGAAATGGCTTTATGCTTTGTGGAACAACAAGTATCGACTTCCTCCATTGATGCGATGCTTTAAAAAAATGGCAAAATTATGCAGCAAGTCATTGAATTTTTGCAACTGCAGCAAGTGATTGAAGAAAAAATTGACAATTTTTTTAAACATTCCTACTAATGTAAGGATTAACATTTGTAATAAATTGACACAATTACTAAATGCTTACTTTAACAATAAATAAGTGCATTTCCATCAACTAAATAATTTTTTAATTCTCCCCTTTAACCAGAATTTCACCTAACCCCAGTCTCATTTAGGCCAGTTATGAGGGGAGTCTAATGCAGTGGTTCTCAACCTTTTGACTAACGCGTACCATCTAAACAAAAATTAAAAATCTATAGTACCACCAAAGTACTACTACCACCCACCACTCTTGAACAAAGCTCAGATCGTATAAATTTACGATTGTTAGAGAAAAGAATTCAATCAGGACGTTAAGGTTTTAATTTTTGAATTTAATAGTTAAAAATACTTTGCTTCTTTGCGTACCACTGGTTGAGAACTCCTGGTCTAATGCATATTTTATTTTTGGAACTCAAGCGGGTCCTAGGTTGCCGAGGCCTAGTCTAACATGCGCCTAAAAACTTGTTTCATAAATATTACTTAAATCCATAAAATATCCATGTTTAATTAACAATATTTTACTTTTTTTAGCAATATTGCATAATTTTTTAAGCTGCATTACTTATTGATTTTAATTTAAAATCTGTTACTTTAAATTAAATCAGTTACTATTTTTTGTGTGCTCATTATAGTACTTAAAATATATAAATGATTTACTTACCAGCAACAAATGTGTATCTATGATAACACACTACTCTGTTTAGTTAACACAGACATAATTTGCGTTTGTTAATCACTCATACAAAATTACAAAAATATCAATTTAAACTAATTCAAATTAATTTTAAACATTTTTATATGCAGAACATTTTAACATTAATGTATTTCTAAATGTTATATAAATATTTAAATGTTTCACTATTCGGGAAATAATTTATCAAGTGGAGTACATACATTAATTAATCAGTATACATTAATCAGTATAGTATGTTAGCCAAATTATAATATACAGCATTAAAAGTAACAGTTACCTCCTTAGTTAATTTAGCAATTCTTTTTTTTTTTTTACATGCAAATTTTAAATATATTTAAAAACATTACGTAGTACTAAAAGCAATTAATTACATTTACAGGTGATGCATCTTGACCTTCAACAGAATTAAGAAGATCCCCAAATTCACCAATACACCAGGATGCTACTTGAACAAGAGGCTGTTTAGTTGCAAGATCTCCAGTCAACTGCTTCCATAACTGCTGCACAGTGTAAGTATGCAAGGTGGATGATTCTGATATTAACTGAATCAAATTTCCCACAACATCATCAATAACATAATTACCAGCCTAAAATATTAAGTCAGGATAAAGATTTCAGTACATACGTTATGCTAACACTTTGAACAACATACTATAATAGGACAGTGTGGTCCAACTTTTAGTTACCCGAGGGCCAGTCAAATGTTAGTATAGGAGAGTGAGGGGCAATCAAACTTTGGTATAGGAGAGAGAGGGCCAGAGACATTAAAGAAAGAAAATGAGCTACATATAAATCACTAGTTTAATATATTTTTAGGAATGAAAGAAATTGTCATCTGATGGATAGCTTTCCCAATGTCAGTGGATACCCACTAAATCTGCTATTTTGTATTCCCTGCAGTATTCTCTGCTTTTGTATTTTGCTAGCTAGTTCCCATCCTAGTGACTGTTTTACACTGCTTGTTTTTCACAAATATAGTTTATTCTGTTTATTATTATTTAAAGCAAGTAAGAAGGGTCTTTTGTTTTTCTAAATGTTTAACTAACATTTTTGTCTCCAGTACGAACAGCAAGTGCCTACAAAATGAATAAGAGGGCTGCATGTGGCCCATGGGCCACGGCTTGGACCACACTGCTATAGGATATAAATTGCAAAATAGCAAATGCAACATTTTTAATGTATAAATGTGTCAACATATATTTAGTTTCACAATACATACCATACAATCTTAGCAACAAGCTACTATTATTTCGATACAGCAAGTTTAAACTAGTCATAAGCTAGTTTAACACAGAATTTTGCAAAAATGATATCAAATTTAAGAAGCAAAATTAGCCAGTAAAATAAGAGCAGCTTCAAATCGAGGCTTTATGTTCTCCTCCTTATAACACTATTGTGTTTTCAAGTTATAATGATATATACAATTCCCATTTAATTTACAAGCAACATTTTTGATGAAGTTAAAAGAAAGATTAAATTATTCACATAGCTTACAAAAATGAAAAGGTCTTTGACGCTTTAGACAGATGTCTAAATAAAAAATTAACAATAATGTTTAAATAAAAATTTAGCAATAAACAAACATATCATATTACGCACATAAAGAAGTAAAAATACTCTTAAAAATATAAGCATACAAAACTTTTATCTTGTATATGGTTCATACAAATAATATATAAAATAGTCACAATCATTCAAGTTATCGACAAATGTCTGAAATTACTGCACAGACCATTCCCAAATTCTTAGGTGCTTAGTTGCACAAGCACATTAAAAAATTTGCTCAAACAATTTGTAATACTTTAGGCTGAATTTATTAAAGAAGTTATTTTAATAACGCATCTATCTTTTCAATATTTAATGCATATATATATAATATTATATACTCATATAATGTCTTAAGTTATTTCATTTGACAGCCACTAAAAAATCCCTGATGTTCTTTATAGAACAAGCCTGATCAGTTTTCTAGTGTTCCTATAAATTATTCCTAACAGCTTGATTATCTTGCCCCATTTCACGTATGTATCAAAAAAGCATACTTCTCTTTATTGTCAATCATAATATGATTTACAGTTGCAAAATAAATTTGCCCTCGAAGAAGAGGGACATGTGATTAACTGCTCTCAAAACTGAATGTTTTACTCAAATTTCATGCGAAAACCAAACTGCTCCTTTGCCTAGTTTAAAATTTGACACTGGTTTGTTTCTCTTTTAATTCGGTCACATACCCTAAAAGCTTGCCCAGTGTGGGTTTGAAGAGCAAGACTTTTCACACATACAGATCTTTTTTCCATTTAATTTATGCAACACTAGAATTTCATTCATACATGGTATGCTACAAAGCCATACAAATGTACTCCTTACAAGAGGCTACAAGCACATAAATCTGCTTGGTGCTCCTCACTAGCTGAGTGAACCAGAAAAACTCCACCCACACCACTTATGTCAGCAGAGCTGTAATCATATAATCCTCTTTTCCTTTTCCATTTGCTTTTTTATTTTAATTACAAAAATTCAACATGACATCCAAGAGAAAGAATGAAGATAAAGTAGCAAAAAGATGCTAATTTTTGGCATTATCTCAAGAAATTGAAATCCGAAATTAGTTGAAAACTTTACTTTCATCACTTGCAAGAGAATCAGCTGTAAAAGAATCAAGCAAAAGAACAATATGGCAGAATGCAGAAAAGATTTGGTCTTGAGTCAAAGCTTTAATACTTCAGACATTGTTTCAAGAACTATGTAGGCACAAGATGGAAGAAATATTAATGGCTTGGACTGAGAGAATAAACGGTGGCATAGCATTTTCAGATATGGAAGGTGAAGCCAAAAATTTAATTGAGAATGACGATCGAGAAATGAGGAATGAAGAATTGTATGATCTTCTAATACCAGCCGACACCGAAAGCATTGAAATTAAAGAAGATTAAAACACCTTTAAAAGAAGTTAAATGAATTGTTAAAAAAGTCACAGGAACTGTCTTATTTTGCATTGGAGATTCACCAAACGATGAAAGAAAATGTTATTTTTTGATAGGCAATGAAATCTCCTAAAGAGCTGCATTAGTCATTACTCCAAGCAAAAATAGTCAGCCTTTTAAAAAAATAATTGTACGATGTACTTACATGTTGAGCAGTAATAAAAATCCTTTCAATTAACATTTGTTTCATTCTTCCATTTACTTAGAATAATATTTAGATTTGTTTAAATGTTACATAATTTCTTAACTTGGACTACACATTTTTTCCACACAGAAAGATAACTTAGCTCTGTGCTTAAATTTTCTTTCCTCTTGCATTACTAGAGCTTCAACTCAATTATGCTTTAATTTCCTTCAAGCAATATTTGGGCTTCTATCTCTGCTATAGTGGAATTATTTGCCCATTTTATATTTCTGAAGTTTCTGAATAACAATTTTGCCACGCACAGAATGAAAAGGTTGCTAGTATTTCTGTGTGTATGTGTGATTATGGCAAAGCCTCGAGGGCTACCTGCCTAAGGGGAGGACAGGATTTTCTAAGGGAAACTGGCTCGTATACATGTTACACATGGAGAAAACTACAAAAACGCCCATGCAGCCAGCCCGTTTGCGGGATTTGAACCTTGGATCGAACTACCAGTGTTCAGCGACTTGACCACTCGGCCGCTGGCAGGCCCACTAGTATTTGTGACCACAGACAGGAATGTAATGGGAAGATGGTACTGTGGCATGAATCTGCTGTTGGATTTAACCATGTAAATATCCCATTACTGACATATGTTTTGCAATTTCAGAACTCATTAATCTTTGTAATTATCTTCAGGCCAACATAAACAGAAGACTAGCCAGTGCTTAATTTTTTTTCCCTCTTGCACTACTGGAGATTGAATTTAATTATGCTTTACACTATCTGGCTTTCTATCTCTGCTATTGTGGAATTATTTGCTCATTTTATATTTCTGAAGTGTGAAAGTTGTTACTCTCTATTTTGGCATTAAAAATGATAAATACTCACATTTAATGGCCAAATATTGAGCAGAATGGAATTTGTGTCAGATGGTCAAACTCACAGCTAATTTTCAGCACTTCATTACCCAAAACCTTTCTCTGAACAGAACAGAAAAGTTCAACATCATGACAGAATACAACCAACCAAACCTTGTACAGATACTGAACCTCTCTCTATTAGTAACATCATAATAGATTATCTAAAGTAAGTGCCAAAATAACCAGGGAAACATACAATTTGAATTATACTTACTGGCATGAATTTTCACATTATTTTAAAGTATAATGCATGCAATAATCACTAAACTTTTGTTTCTATAAAAATCTGACACAAGGTTTGGTAAAAAAAAATTAATAAAACTTAACTTTTTTAAAGTAATTTGGCATTAAGACCTAGGTTAGAATCTAAAATAATACATGAAACAGTTCATTTTTTTATATAATCTGGCTTGGAAAACACAAAATTCTGTCATAAAGACATAATAATTAAAAAAAATCAAAATCAAAATTTCAAGAACAAAACAGCATGTAAATATGCACTTTATAGCACATACCAGTGTAAGAACCTTTATCATAGTATCAATATGCCAACGCTTAGATGGAGCATACCTGAAAAGGAAAGTATCAATAAAACCATAATATTCTGCTTACTAATGAGATAATGGATGAATATGAACAGTCATAGGCTAGTTATCACAAATACACAATCATAGGCTTGTAATTAAAATTACATTTTGTACTTCTTTATCATTAATAGTACTTGTAAATAAAAGTTAAATGCTTTTCACATAAAAGCAAGGATAACAGAGATTAAATCTATTTCTACACCAATAATATCACACCGAAATCACTCTGAAAAATGCATCACACTAGATACACTGAAGATTTGAACAAGACAGTTTGGAAAAAATTATGAAATATCTTGCTTATTTATCATTATTTTGTTAATATCCAAAATAACATTCATGTATAAAATTTTAAAATCCACTTCACTATACACTTAAAGTTACTAAACATTTTCTACTGCTAATTCTGCAACAGTTTTGACACATACTTCATCCTTGTTTTCCATGTGTACCAAATCTCAAATATAATGAAAATGATACAAAAATAAAATTTGCTAAACAATTTTATTGCTGGTATTTCCATAAATTGAGTTATTAATGTATTTATTTTAAAAAAGTTTCTTCTTGCTCATACATTTATTTTATTCCAAGATATGAAATAAGCAAGGAAAGTCCTATTCTAAGCTTTAGTATAAATATACATTGCCTGCAGATACACACATGCTTGGTCTTTGTTTAATAAAACTCAATTATTTAATTTGGTCACCAGCAAATAATTGTTCACATAGAAGATTCACATAGTAAGATTCCACTTATGCTAAACTACATTTTCTGCTGCTTATTATTTAGAGGTAAATGTCCATTTTGTAATTGCAAGAAGTGATTTCAGCAAAAATATTAGTGAAATCAATTGTTGCAATATTGTTCTTCACTGAAAGTAATCTCCATTGGTTATAACTGTGTTGTAATATCTTATATTTCTGTAATTTCAGGTCATGACAGTGATTTAAACACATTAGACATTCAGTAAAATGTAGAAGATACTCCAAATGTTAAATTATAGAGGAAAATATGTCCTTTGACACATTTTCTAGACAGCATGGTACAAGGTAAAGAGTATTAAAATAAGGTATCATTAAATCAGATATTGATAGTTCGGGTTCTCTGGTTCGCTATTCAAAACACATCAACAGTTACTCTTCATCAAAAAATTTACCTTATTCCTATCTGAATTCTAAAGATAATTCTTGACTTTCATTTTCAGGCAGAGAATGCATATTCTATATTTGTGATTACTCTTGACTTCTGTTTGACACCTCAGGAACTAAATCCTCAATTTCTAGATCTAACTTGAATGGTTGCTCTGTTTCTTCTTGTATATTCACCTGATATTCTTCCAGTGATTTTATACGTAGCGTATTCGGAAACTAAGTACCGTTTCATTCTAGCGCCATCGCACCACTGTGATAGGCGTCCTGCGCATGCGAACTAGTCTTTCTTGTTCACTGACTTTCAATTGTCGGCATTTTGGTTGCTCTATGTTGTTGTGCTGTGCACATTCAAAATGTTTAAGACAATTAGTTCTCCCGCTGATTGTGAGATTCATGCCGTGATTAAATTTTTGAACGCGAGGAATGTTAAACCGGCCGAAATTTATCGTCAAGTGACAGAAGTTTACGGTGAATACGCGATAAGTGATGGAATGGTGAGAAAGTGGATAAGAATGTTTAATGCAGGTCGAACAAATGTCTACGCCGAGGCTCGGAGTGGTCGGCCTTCTGTTGTCCCGATGATTTGGTAAGGAAAGTTGATGAAGCAATTCATGAGAACAGACGCTTCACAATGACAACTCTTTCAGAGGCATTTCCACAAATTTCATGTACTGTTTTGTTTGAAATTGTGTCTGACCGCTTGAATTATCGCAAACTGTGTTCCCGATGGGTTCCAAAAATGTTCACTGATGTTCACAAAACAAAGCGACTTGGTAGTGCCGACATTTCTCACGCGGTACGGTGATGAGGGAGAAAACTTTTTAAACCAAATTGTGACAGGTGATGAAACTTGGATGTGTCATTTCACACCAGAATCGAAACAACAATCGATGGAGTGGAGACACACTTGGAGACACACTCATTCTCCGAAAAAACAAAAGTTCAGAGTGACAATGTCATCACAAAAAAATCATGTGCACTGTCTTCTGAGATAGGAAAGGCATTTTGCTTACTGAATTTCTTCCCAGAGGTGAAACCATTAATGCAACACGATATTGTGAGGCGTGCCATTCAAAACAAACGAAGAGGAATGCTCAGTAAAAGAATTGTGTTGCTCCATGACAATGCTCGGCCCCATACTGCTGGTGTCCCTCAATCGTTAATTTGACAGTTTCATTGGGAGCAGTTTGATCACCCGCCGTACAGCCTGGACTTGACGCCATCCGACTATCACTTGTTCCTGCACATGAAGCGCGAGCTTGGTAGCAAGCGCTTTGGATCTGACGATGAAACGAAAAATGCTGTGGAATCGTGGTTATCGAAACTGGCGGGAAGTTTCTTTGACGATGGTATACAAAAACTGGTCACCCGCTATGACAAGTGTTTCATCATTGGCGGAAACTAGGTTGAAAAATAGTTTAAGACATGTATTTTCATGTAAAAATAAAATTGGATTCGAAAAAATTGTTTTACTATTTTTTTTCTTTCAAAACGGTACTTAGTTTCTGAATACGCCTCGTATCTACATTTTGTACTACACTATACCTTTATCTAGTAATTTTATATCTGAATTACTTCTACTAATGACTTGCGTTTTTAATAATCTTAATGTTTCACATCTCATTTTTGCTTTATCCAAAGCTTTTTTAGTATTCTCAACCAAAACAATACCTTAATAGCATGATTTTATATTTCTAAATTCCATACTCTGTTAGTATTATCATAAAATATTCAATATAAATATTCTACAGTTCAAGAGAGCATTCAAAATTCAAATTGAAACCTGTCCCTTCTTTGACGCTTACGGTGCACAAGGGTACTAGGTTCACATCCCACTTCTGAAAATATGTTAGCTGGTGACCTTAGCTTAGCTCATCAGAGTGGGTTACATTATTATTAAAGTAAAATTATTAATAAAGTAATTACTTATATATTTACATCAAGCAATATACTAGGAATCATTATACATGGTCATTCATTTGTTCGCAGTCTTCTGTCTGGCACTTCTCAATTTTTCACAGTTTAACCGCTCTTTTCTTACACTAGCATCTATCAGCGTTTTTGCAACAAACACAATAAATTTAAAACTCTGTACCAAAAGGAACGAAATAATAGTTATATAATGTATAACTGCCCGCAAATGGCATTAAGGCATTCTGCATCTTTCTGTGGCTAGTAATACTTTTACCCAAATTCCATATACAAAACATATAAATCATAACGAAATGTTAAAACTATTAGTTTCACATCGAAAGCCTGTTGTAAAACAACAGGGTATGTAGCTCCCTGGAGGACCCCCCCCCCCCGAAAAAACTTGTGATCATGCTATTTCTTTCACAGAAAACATAATCTTTGTTTTATTTGGTTATGGCAAAGCACTTGAGCTACCTGCCTAAGAGTAGGGATACCTTCATGGAGGACTTTCCTCGAGAAATTGGCTCATATACAAACTACACATGGAGAAAACCATGAAAATGCTCAAGTAACTAGCCCAATTGCCTGGAATCGAGCACAAGTCGAACTATCACTGTTTAGCAACTTCACCACTCGGCCCAATCACAAATGTAAAACTAACATTTATGAAGTCTAATTACTTAACATAGTTCCTAAAACTAAAATCATGATACAATTTAAATACACATACATTTCAGCAGAAATGAAAAGGTTTGAAGAGCACTGAGACTTGAATTCAGGATCAGCTTTTTCTAAGAACATGAGAAGTTCTTTTGTCATAGATCTTATATTATTTGAATTTACTAATGCAAAGCACAGCTCCATAGCTCTCCTAAAATGAGAAAAAACAAAATTTTAGAAGAGAAACTACTTAATTTAATACTTAGAAATTAATATAGATATATAACCATTTTGTTAACCAACGTTAATAAACAAATATTTATACAGAAGTATTATAAAATTAATTATAGCTCAGCTTTACATATATGTGGCATTACAAAAGAGAAAAACTGTTAGCTATGCCCCAATTTGACAAGCTATGCTTATAAATGAAAATGTCAGATTAGAAAGGCAAACTATACACACAAATCAAACCCAATTCTACTGCTAAACATTAATGAAAATTTATATGGGCAACACATAAGTTCTCAAAAAGCAATACATTTCTAAAAAATTTGAAACCTATATTTATAAACAAATGTATGTAATACATAATTTCGGTGGCTATGAAGTTAGCTATATGCAGGATATCCTTCCTGTTTGTATCCTATTTGAATTTATGAAAATAAATACACTAGCTTACTCTTCCGCTAAACCATAGAAGAATATCACACACTTAGTACTAAAAATAATAGTCATCGTATTCGATACTTATGAGTTACACATAATTTCTATCCAGTCGCAGGATCCAGCATTTCTGCAGCACAATTCTTTCTTTCCTTAAAAAAATGCAGGAGGCTGACATCTGTAATCGGAGTGACTAACTGAAGCACCATGTGCAATTTACCAGTGACTTTTCTAAATTCACATTTGAGGTGGAGTAGCATATAAAACCCACAAATTAATGGCAAGGGCTTCTTGAAAGAATACAGTTTTACATTCCAAAGCACGCACACATATCAGCAAGTTAATATTGTGGATCACTGAAACGAGCATAATGTCAGTTAAGAATTTCTACATAACCGTTTGACTGCTACACGGCGCAAAAGTGCTGCGTTCATTTGTCTCGAAAACCGCGATGCAGCGCTTTCGTGCTGCGAGTTTCAGGGTGTCTTTGTTGCTCCATGGGTGTGAACGTACATAGTCTGACCTCACTTGTACTTTGTAACCCGAGTGCATTCTAAAATAACTAACTGCGTCGTGGTTTTCGAGACAAATGAACGCAGCGCTTTCGTGCCGCGTAGAGGACAAACAGATACTTTTGAACGATATATCCTGTACACAATATAGAACCAAAAGATTTAAACACCACACTTTAATCATTTGAAGGTTGCCAAAGTTTGCAATCCTGGTTTGTCTTATTATGCACAATGTTCCACTGCAGCACTGTTTAGAAAGGTCACCTTTTTAAGCCCAACTGCTTTCTTAAATGCCACTCATTTTCAGAAACACTACTGAAGTTTTCCATAAGTTATGGCTTCATGTAAAATTTAGCATAATTTTAACTGCTTTAAATAGAATTTTTAACAATTAAAAAATTGCATCACATATAATATTAAATTGTGAAATATTACACAATATATTCACATGAAGAGCAATTTATTTTTTTTTTTCAAATTTTTATGCACTGCTCCAAATGGAATTTTTAACAAACACTGCACAAAATAATGTTACTTGCATTATAAATACAGAGGAAAATAGGGGGGAGAAAAGGGAAAATAAACCTATCATATAGTGATATCAGATTAAAAATAAGCATATCAATATTGTTTATTAGTGAACTTATGCATGCTTTTAGTTGCATAGTAATTTATTTTGGAAAATATTATTTAAAAGTTTGAAAAAAAGTAAAAAAATTTAAAGGAAGAGACCTGCTCGTAACCTTGCTTGTTCTTTTCAATTAACAGTAAATCTCTACCCAACTAGACTTTAATTTTACACCGGTTGCACTTTTAAATTACCATCTTTGCTAGTTTCATTTTCTGAACTAACAAGTTAATACACACACGAAAACGTATTCTGCCCTTGCGCACACGCGTATGTGCAGTCGTAAAGGTCTTACGCGCATGTGTCAATGCGGCGCATCCGCAGAAAGTTTTTAGCTTTGAGGTCCGAATTAACGACTTTTGACTGTAGTCTTATCTTGAACCAACCCTCAGCTTGAACTATTTCCAAACAAGAACATTTATCTTGGCTGAGTTCTAAACAGGAACTTTTTTCACACCGTCTGGAACTGGTTATATTTCTTTTTCCCTCACCCTACTGTATAAGTTTGTTTATTTTTATTTATTTATTTATTTATTTTTTTGCATATAGCCTAGAAAGAACCCAAATAAATTTACTTACGCTACCTCTTGCCTTTTGAATTCATCACAGGATATAGTATTTTCTCCACAATAATAACGCTTTAAATATCAATGTTTGTAACATTTCTAAAGCAGAGGGGCTATTAATTTCGTTTTAGCATTTTGTGATAATTCACTATAAATGGGAAATCACTTTTTAAATTGTTGCCACGAAATATTACAGCCTGCTTTTATATTTAAAAAAATTAAATAATGAAGAATATGCATAAATGTATGCATGTTTCTCACACTGTGATAAAACAAAAGTACCTAGAGCCATCAAATTTTGAATGATGTACATGTCCACCCGAATATGGGCATCTGGAAGCTTAAATTTGGAATTTGTTTTATTACCTACTTCATATTTTGTAAAGCATTTATGAGTTTTTGATTAAGAAACTCAATGATTTTAAAGTGAGCAATGGCAACACTGTACGGGGGAAGAGGGGGGACATTTTTAACTCCAGCGAGTGACACTATCGAAATTCTAAAGATATTCTCTTTTAAATATTTTGTGATATTACTGTTGAATTGAATTTCATGGTTTAAGTGTGAAGAATGCGATATTTAATAAATAAAGGTAACACATAAAACATTAGAAAAATGCCCCTTTGGGCATAATATATAATCTGAAAACTTTTTAGATTTTGTTTTTGATCCACCTATGTATTTGTTCCATTTCATATGTGACAACATAGTCACTTTTTTTTTTTTTTTTGGCTACTATAATTTTTTTATCCATCAAATACTACATTGTGCCTCTGTAGTATGAAATTCAGGTCAGCTAATTTTTTGTGGAATTATGATCAAAATCAGAACAGTTGCTTAAGTTTTACACACTAGTGTATATGTACATTTCAAGTTATATATCTCACTTCATCTCTATCCAGGCTAATTAATTAATGCCTTAGATTTGTATTAATTTGTAATGAGAACAGCTTTTAAAATTTTTCAAGATAAGGGAAGCTCAGTTTAGAAAACTATTAAAAGATTCCATTCCATTAGCAAGATTATTATAGCACTTTATGATAGAGATCACTTAATGAACTAAACTACATTGGATACTCCTTTGTAATATGTAATTCATTTGGGGCTGAATTTATTCATGATCATTAAAGAAAGGATTAATTGAATGCTAGTAGAGTGCACAGAAAATTTTATGCTCCTTAACATAACTGCCATAGAAAAAAATAATAAAGAATCAAAGAGCTGATTGTAAATTTTGTAGCAGGGAACTAATTGATTTGAAATTTTCCTCACCCACTATCACGATATGTTAACAATCTGAACTGCATCAAACACCAAGCTCAGTCAGTTCTTCTGTTGGTGAATATCTTCTATAATTACTTTTTTTAATATATATAAATGGGATACTTGCATACGCACTATTTATCTGTGAAAATCCTGAACTAAATATCAGGGTAGCCATATAACTTTCCTTATATCTGAACTCCTAGTGTAATGTCCTAGCCATAGTTTGTGATACATCTAGATGTTTCATGATAAGTAGTAGTCACCTAGGATGTTTTCCCCTCCTTTGCTAATCCTACTCTTTTTTTTAGTGCTCTTGCACCAATTTTTTTTTTTTTTTTTAAATTACAGCTACCATTCCAATGCCATTTATGATTCTTCACAAAGTCAAACACATTAGAGGCTCATTCATATGCACAGCTTTTTTGCACGGCATTCAGTTCAGATGGGTAAAAAAATTGCTTCTGAAGCATGTTCTTTTTTATATGATGCATTCATATGTGAACAGGCCCCACTCATACCTAAGTTGAAACACTGACATTCTTTAGCATTACTTCAAATAATTTATACATTATAATTATTTATTATATTTATACATTATAATTATATATTCTTTACATACTTCACATAATTTATATTATTTTTGCTACTTTAGCAAGAACTTCACTGTATAAAAGGATAAACACTATCAGAGGCAAGTTTCAAATAATTTAACAACTAGACCGTTACTCTGTTGATAACTTAAGTAAAATAAAAGTATTCTTTATAAACATATGCACATGGCTTTACTGCATTTCTTCACAAAATACCCAAAATAACAACAATACTATAAAAATAAATTAAAAAAACAAGTCTTAAAATAAACAGTGAAAATTAATATACACCATGGCTTTTGTGAGTTATTAATAACTGATAAATTTTTATCCCATTTAATATTTTTTAATATTTAAGAACATAAAATTAATTTACACATTTAAAATCAAATAAAAATTGTTAAATTACCGAAAATGTAAGAAAGCGGTAATTACTGATCACTGATTTAGAGAACTTAGCAAGAACATATATACTAATTGTTTAATGCTTTGAAGTGATTTATTTAAATTAAATTTTTCAATAATGAACTAGTGAACAATAAACCAACTGAAAAAACAGCAATAGTACTGTTTGATGCCTTTTCTTTTTCATCTACATAAAAAATCTGATGTATACACCACGACTTCCTTGTACGGAATATTAAATTATACGCATTTTTTCTTGCATTTCATTGAAACTTAATGGATTGAATTAAATCTACTTCGCCGACAGCGCATAAACCACAATAGAATAAATGCATTCTTTAAAATTCACTCTAGTATTTGTTTACCATAGCGACACTCTGGCGCTAGATTCACTTAACAGTATTAATAATTATATGACAGTTAACTTATATAATAATTATATAACGGAAACTAAGTTAATGGTTATATAATGCAATAATTATATAACAGTTAACTTATATATTTCGTTCATATTATAATTCATAATGCACAAAATTTATATCATGTAAAGAATAGGATTATCTAATAAGTCTAAAAAT